TGCGGTATTACTCGCGATCTCCTTCCATATATATATCACATTCGGACCTTTCACGATTCACGTTCATGCGGACGGCTTTCAGCCCTATGCAAGTCATGGCACCGGTGTCTTATCGAAGAAAGCCACTCTTATTTCGCCTGCGCACGCTGGATTCTGCGCCCAAACCCCGGGCCTCAACATTCCAAGCTGACTCTGATTGATCCCTGATGACACGGTGAACGGTTTCCTTGGTATTTTCTCTCCTCCTCACACATGAAAGTCTCCATGGGCTCGGTCTCACATGGCAATCGCTGAAGCCCGCGGTAGGTCGCTAAGGCCTGCGGCTTCTTCAGACTACCGAAGTAGCCGGTAAATATACAGTGGACACCCGTTTCAACCCCAAGTCACGAACATGGCACGTCTAGCAACATATACAATGTAACGCGCTGAGTACAAACTCGCCATCTACACATCGGTCGAATTATGTCAATTCATGGCAGGGGACAAATCGATATAAAAGCGGTAAGAGTGCACAGAACATCAAAAGAGCTGAGATCAATATATGGGCTGCTATCATGTTGGGGCCAGTTGAGGCAGGATCAATTGAGTTGGCGGGTTGTCTGAGGCGGCGACGGCCCAAGCTTCACTTTGCAGATTTATCCGTACCCTGCCAAACACCTGGCGCGTAAACTGCTGCTGAGATGAATGTCGCGTGGTACGGTGCGGGGAAGCAGGGACAATTTGACAGCTATGCAGCACTGCTCACATCGGTTGGTGTTGCATAACCCTTGGTCTAACATTGTCTGCCGGCACTTCCCCGCCACACCGTTTGGTCAGCCTGGGCGACGCGACTCATCACCCGCCCAAATCTGGACAGTCTGAACCTGACTCGGATCCTGATGTGGGCCTCCCGCCGATGCATGATTGCGTTAGAGAACGCCGTCTTTCGCGCGATTGGCATTGTGGATATTGCCGTTGATGTTTGATAGTCAGTGGCTGCGGCACCCCTACACATCATCATGAGTATCACCTCCACGGTTCCTTTTTCCTGTCAGCATTCCATTCCGTTCGCGTGAACGGATTCATCGTCAAGCTCCAGAACCGTTCTCGATGGCCCCTCATGGCCGACTTTCTATCGTCTTGGCTTTTGTGCTTACCTCCATGTCGACCGTGGTTGTAGCTCTCAGGTGCGTCGGCCGTTCGCAACCCTGATCGCATCGTTGGTTGACAGTTCAGATTCTACACCCGATATTTCTATGTTGGAAAGCTCACGTCGTCCGACTGGGTCATGCTTCTGGCCCTTGTGAGTGTATACTCGCTCCCTGTGCTGCTATTGCTAACCAGAAACAGATCGCAACTTGGTATGGACGTCTCCGCGGAACCCAGAGAAGCTGAACTGACTCATTCGTTCCTACATCTAGGCCATCAGTGGTGGTACATTGCTTCATGATCCATTTCCTCGATTATAGCCAGGTTGATGTAAGTAGCTACCAGCTGTTGAATGACTGTGGTCTAACATAGCATAGAAAAACAAGCCAGAAACCGGGAGACCCGTAATCACCGGCTCGCTACTGTCGATATGGCTATACCGAGTCAACTTCATCCTCAATCTTTGTCTCATCAAGACGTCGATATTGCTATGTACGTTCTATGCCACACAATCCCAGGGATGAACGCGGAGAGCTTCGAGTACTACACAAGTGGCGGCCATTGCGCGTCGAACGGCTATCCGTTCGCCCATGTGCTTTCATTCTTCCTCGGAACGCTCATTTCTGAAGGATCTACTCGGCTAACAGGATCGACTTAGTTTACAATTCTATCGCCGCATCGAACAAACGCTTCCAATACGTTGTCCGTGTACTCCTTGCCATCACAGTCTCTGGCGGAGTATCCATGATCATCGCCTCCATTCTCATGTGCATTCCGATCACCGACGCGTTCGCATGGGATGTTTGGTATCGAGCATGGGTCCTACACATCTTCGACGCTCATTGTTACAACCCAAATCCATTCTGGATCTTCAATGCCATCTATAACCTCGTCACGGATGTGATCATCTGGACGTTACCGATATTGTTCTTTTGGAATCTTTCGACAATGCCGCTTAGACGCCGTCTTGAGCTGATAGCTATCTTTTCCGTCGGTATCATGGCCGTAATAGCTTCCGCCCTTCGGCTTTACACTACGATTTTCTGGGTGCACGACTATGTGCAGCAAGGGCTGACTACAGCAGATCTTTTGATGTGGAGTCAAGTGGAACAGCACGTCGGCCTCATCTCAGCCTCCGTACCATTTCTGCGACCACTCTTCCGTAGAGCGATGGTCAAGATAAGGAGCAGAGAGCAGCCCAGCCCAGGTCCCGGAAGGCGCTTGGTCGGAGACGGCACACCAGAGTGGACTCCTGCCATGTTCAGGACGCCGATCATCCCATCGCCTAGTCCAACATTTAGCAGGTGTAGCCGGGAATTTAGGTCACCGCGGGGCGCACTTCCGCCTATTGAGCCTATGAGTACGTCAACATGGGGCTCGACCATTTGGGATGGATCTCAGGTTCGGCAGGTGCTTCCAAGCTGATCTGTCGATCATTGATAGACCCGCAAACCTGTTCAAGAGCGGAAGAGGCGGACCACCGAGTTCTCCAGAGAGAAAAGCGCCACCGCATGTGCGTGGAGCTCTTTGGCCAAGTGAGGGCAACGGTTGTTCATTCACTGTCGGGAATAGCCTTACACCAAGTTCTGAACTAGGCAATTCGCTCTCCCGAGCCACTCCAACACCTCAACGACACCACGATGTGTGCTCTCATGACTTCGGTACCTACAACAATGACTGCAGGCGACGGCGTGGCCGATGCCTGTGCTGCGATGCCATGCGTACTTGCACCTCCGCCTAAACCAGCACTCGATAACCTTCCCATGGAGCTCATCACAAACATCGTGAAGTTCATACCCGGTTCGCCTGTACGCGAGCTACTTGCGTTACGTCGGACCTGTCGCTTCTTTCGCGCAGCCGCCGCCTATTTGCTTTGCCCACGTATGAGGCGCAGGCTCAGACACATTCGAGTGCTGATGACAAAAGACGGCTTGACAGCGCTTGTTGAGATCGTGTCGGTAATTCACTGGCGAGACTGCATTCAATGCGTTGAGTTTATCGACCCTGGAGTGGACGCCATAAGGGAATACAAAAAAGGAGATCGAGACAAATACCACTGGCTCGGCTATACCGTGGAGTCAGCCAAATTTCGGGAAATCCAGAACAAGGTACGTCGTACATCTAGGACGGGCTCGGATCTGGGAGAGTGCGCTCTTCCCGTTAGTCGCCTTGTTTGAATTCACTATGTGCTAACGAAGTTCAGATTACACCTGTACGGCAGTTGTTCTGGGCCAACTACGCCCCGGTTCTTCTCGATAAGATCTTCTCCTCATTCAAAACTATGGAAGGACTTGAGGAGATACATTTCGGGTCGAGAAGTAGCGCTCATAAGCCGTTGCCGCGTTCAGAACCTTTCATCATGAGTATAGGGTTCGACTACGCCCATACTAATCTTGCTCGTTGTCTGTTCCAACGTATCTACAACCGCGAAATTGGAACCTACATTTCCGCTGGACACATGCGCTTGCTGCACCTGATATTGTCGGATACTGGCTTCGACAAGGAAATTATTCACCTGAATATGCGCAACCTCATCGGGACTGAACGATTGTCTCTACCTGGAGTATGGCCATACCTGGATCACCCAAGCTTTCAGAAACTCAACTTTGTAGATGTTGACCATGCGCATCCGGTGGACAACATCAGGGCGCCTTCTACAATGAGACTCGATCCGAAGTATGATCGTCTCAACTCACGCCCAATATGTTGGAACATCACCGAGCTCCGGCTCATCGGCTGCAAAACAGACTCCAGCTGCGCAGTCGATTACCAAACCTTCTCTCTCCTCGCCAAGTCTCGCTTTCCTCACCTGATCCGGCTCGAACTCATTGGATACGCGGTCACCAGCGAACAGCTCATACCGTTTCTCCGCAGTGTCAATTCTACGACGCGGGATGTTTTCTTGACTAGCATCCATCTCACGTCTGGTAGCTGGAAAACGGTTCTTCGCGAAATCCGCGCTTTTACGCGACTGCGTGAGACCAAATTCAAGACTCTGTCGGAGATGAAACAACAGTATTGGAATGGACGCTTTGCGAAACTTGTAGTGATCCCATGATGGTAGGGCCGATGATTGTTAAGGGATTCCTTGTCTGGAGAGATATGGCTTCGAAAAGGTGTTGGACAGGTGTGGGTGGTGCTGAGTATAACTAAATAAATAGCTACACTGAATTACCTCATGACCACAACTACATGCCGATGTCAGATGTCGAGTGACAACGTGGACGGGGCTTAGTACATCGCCGTACTCGTGGTGATGTGATTCGTCGGGCCGACCGCGTCATGCTCTCGCGATTAGCACTGCCGATGCCGTCCAGTCATGCCGCAATTCTAGAAGCCTACCTAGGGCGAGCGACTTTATCAGCCTGTGGTGGGCTCACCGTGACACGATCCACAGTCGCCTTGCAGGGCGGCGCTGGTGTGATGTGGAAGCCGGGGACACTCTTGCTGCTGCCGAACAGAAAGCTCAGCAGGCGGTGAAGGCCAGGGGCGAAGGGTAATTGGCCTGGCGCGTCTTCTGGGCAGGCACTAGTGCATTTGCGCCCACGCGTTGGCCGCTCGGAACTGAGTGAACCTTGGGTGGCAAAAGTGGTACGAACGTCGATCAGGGCCGCCAATCTCCAATTTAATCCGCCTCCTTTGCTGCTGCATCTGCTCTTCTTCACTGCAGCACCTCCGCCAATCGCTCCTTCACCACTCTGCAACTTGCAGTCGTTCCTTCGCTCTACATCTGCACACTGCACCCGCTCTTTGTTTTAATTGTTGGACATTGAGAGCAGCCACAATGTACGCCCGATCCCGAAGTACCCCGAAGTCGCATACCCTAAATACTAACTGATGACAGGAACAACGCAACCTCCCTCCTGACGCCTATGGCGCAGGACACCTACTGGGGCTCCTTTGAGGAGATCTCCAAGTACAATGTGCAGCTCAACTACCTCGAGAAGATGTGGATGGCCTGGTACCAATGGATGGGCAACGATGTCTTGGCGACAGGAATCATGTCCTTCGTCTTCCACGAGCTCTTCTACTTTGGACGCGCGCTTCCCTGGATCATCATCGACTGCATACCCTTCTTCAACCGATACAAGCTCCAACACGTACGTCTCTGCGATTGCACAGCTCCATGCAACGATAGCTAACTTGCCGCAGCAAAAAATCCCCACTACTTGGGAACAAACACAATGCGCCGCCCTCGTCCTCCTGTCCCACTTCACCGTCGAGCTTCCCCAGATCTGGATGTTCCACCCCATGTGCCAGTACTTCGGTCTCCAGACCTCCGTTCCCTTCCCCAGCATCTACAAGATGGCGTACCAGATTGCCATCTTCTTCGTCTTCGAGGACGCATGGCACTACTGGATGCACCGCGCCATGCACGCCAGCTCCTTCCTCTACAAGAACATCCACAAGATCCACCACCAATACTCTGCTCCCTTCGGTCTGGCCGCCGAGTACGCCTCGCCCATTGAAGTCATGATCTTGGGCTTCGGTACTGTCGGAGTCCCAATCGTCTTCTGCGCCATCACCAAGGACCTCCACATCCTGACCATGTACGCGTGGATTTGCCTCCGTGTGTTTCAGGCCATCGACGCGCACAGCGGCTACGAGTTCCCATGGAGTCTGCACCACTTCCTGCCTTTCTGGGCCGGCGCTGAGCACCACGATGTTCACCACGAGAAGTTCATTGGCAATTACGCTAGCAGCTTCAGGTGGTGGGACCTGCTCTTCGACACCGAGGCTGGTGCTGAGGCCTCCAAGAAGCGCCGTGAGCGCAAGATGGCCGCTGCCAAGCTCAAGAAGGCCAACTGAGCGATCTTTGCTCGCATGTTTACAATCTTTGACGAGTGTTTGTCGGTTTTAGCCGCACGCTTGATGGTTGGGAGATGGTAGAACCTCTTCCGGCTGATAACTGCCCACACGCTTCGATGCGGAGCTGGTATGAGACATGGCGTTTTGGGTATAGGAAACTGCAGCCATGCATATTGGTCGCGGTAATAGACAGTATGACAGTATGGACCCTGGATAATGGGTGGCAGAGAGGTGTTGTAAATAGGAGCTGGGTCATCATAGATTATTTACCTAATATCATCATCACGGTCGTTACGTTGAACGTTAACCTATTTCATCACTTTCTGATAATCTTGTTTGTTGCGTACACCGATTCGAGACGCGAAGCTGTGTACATTGGAAACAGCAGCATGCAAAATGTATGATGGGTGAACGGTGAAGGCCCCTGGTGATAGCGCGGAACGCCGTCTTGGCGTGGTGAGGACTGGCGCGTCTACATTCCGAGCTCATCAACTTTCTTTAACCTCACCAAACCGCGCAATCACCTCCACCACCCCAAGACGACGGCGCGCGAAAATACGGCATCATGAGCTCCGGACGCCCTGTTGTCCACCAGGACTACATTGCAAAAATCCGATACTCAAATGCGCTGCCTCCTCCACCCTGTCCGCCAAAGCTGCTGGACATCCCCAACACTGGTCTTTCGAGCGGTCAATACACATCAGCGGGCTTTGCGTCAAGACTGGCGCGAGAGCAGTCGCTGAATATTGAGGCTGATGCGGAGTTGGGAATGCCCATCGACTTGGTGGGTATCCCCAAGGTATTCGATGGAGACGAGTCTGGTAAGAGCGAACCCGTGGCGCAAAGCCCTCGCAGCGACTGACGCGTCCAACAGCTATCCAGGCGATGCCTCACCCGCCACCGCTCAGCACAGCAGACAGAGCGCTGATGCGACCGCCGAACCAGCTCGGCAAGACGCAGACCAATGCCTCTGGCGCGACTTTCCTGCGACGAACAGAATATGTCACCTCAAGCACAACCGGCGGCTCCAAGTTCGAGTCCAGTAACTCGTCCAACACGATGCGCCTGCGGAGGAAGCGAAAGCAGGTAGAGACCTCATTAGACGACCCTACCAACATCGCGCGACACATCCTCAAGAGCTTCAACATCGCGTACCCAGCAGATGCCTACAACGGCCAGGACGGTGCCGAGAACATCAGGGCAGCGGAATCGACGCCCGAAGAGCGACTAGCATGGAACAAGCCCAAGAACCCCCGGAACCCCAACCTAACACTCGTGGACTCCTACCCACTCCTTCCAGACTGGGACGCCATGCCCGACACCGGCGGCTACATGGTCTTCAAGTTCACCGCACCCCCGATCAACAACCCGCTCGACCCATCCTACGACCCGCGTCTCGACGTCGCCCTCCTCCGTCCCGCCGGCCAAACAATCCAAGACCAAGAAAAGTACATGGAAGACCGCGAAGCCCACCGCCTGGACCCCACCGTCCCACCCCCGATCCCCCGCTGGCAATTCGAATACTTCCTTCCCTCCGACAAGAACAAGGTCCGCGGCATCAAGCGCAACTTCACGACGCACGACCCCACCAACGAAGCAGACATCGACTTCGACATCGCCGAAGACGACGAAGGCCAGCCGCGCAAATGCTTCAAATACGATAACGTGCGTACGTACGAGACGAGCCAGCAAGTTGGTGACCCCAGCGATACCTACGGCGACGTTGTTGCGCTTGCGCTGCATGACCCGGAGAAACATGCGAATGAGCCGCTGCGCGATAGCAAGATGCAGCGGGCGGCGTACTTCTACCCGATTACGCAGAGGACGCAGTTGAGACCTAGGAGGCCGGGTCGTATTGATATGACGGAGGAACAGCCGAAGGTCGATATTATCGAGGCGGCTGGTAAGGAGCCGGAGAGCTTGGAGAGGAGGGAGGGGTATAGGAAGAGGGCTGAGGGCGTGGAGTAGTTGGTTAAGAGGATGGAGGGAGGAGGGTGGAAGAGGGAGTGTGGTTGCTCCCAGCAGGTTGGTTATCAAGGCGAGATTGGACTGGATCGATATTGGTATTTATCATCAGCGTCGGCGTTAATTGAGGTACAGAGATGTAACAACAGATTTCGTGGATCGTTCGGCATACAATCGGCATATACTCGAAGTCTTTTCTTTTCTTCCTCTCAAAAATCTCGTCGGATATTCCTGCCTCATTTTCCGATTCTCGTCTATCATAACAATACGATGCGCGTCCTTCCATCATCAAGCACTCCCGTACCCTAGATCAAACGGCAGACAAGAAACCCTGGATTCATAGCAAGAAAAACCTCATCACGTTCACTTCTACCAAAACCGCCAAGACACGCTAGTCCAAAACTAGCCTCTATCAAGAGGAATTCCGCTAGCTCCAGTCACCACTCACGCATTGCCAAACGTAGGTATGTTTCTTCTTGGCCATTGCCAAAAAAATCATATTACCGAGTCTTCACATACGCACAACAGCGATAATAGCCACAACCAGTCCGATGACAGTAGCGATTCCAACGAAGTATGTAAACCACGTTTGGACAGTAGGAGCGGTCGCAAGGTTGTTGGTTGTTGGTGGTATCGGTTGAGTGTTGGTAGGTTCGGGCTCGAATGAGAGAGGTAGAGTGTGAGCGCGTCTTGGTTGGATATGCGTAGGCAGTAAGGTGTTCATGTTGACTCGCTGGACTGCGTTGGTGGTTGAAGAAGGCATTGCGACGCGATGGATACTACGGTATGGTCGACTGGTGGGGGTTAGCGACCCGACATAGTCCATAGGATGTTGAAGACTAAACTGGATGTAGCGATGAAAGCGGAATGCGATGATATCTCTCAAGGAGTATACCGTCAATTATAAGTTGCTCGAAAGTGTGATGCTGTTTCTCTCTATCCATCCTTGGGTTCGAAAAAGGTATGTACGTCCTGCCTGTCATATCCCAGCAAGCCTGGTGGGGATCAGCGCAGACGGTGCACATGGGCAGGATACCCAATCACGTCGGTGACACGTTTACTGGGCATTCTGAAAGCAGTAAGCGTAAGCAATAAGCGTTTTGGAAAAGCAATAAGCGTTTTGGAAGTAAATGAGGCAGTGCACGAAGAACTTGAGGCTGGTGAGACAGGCTATTCGACGCCACCATCGCGGCGCATTACATCGCGAGACTAAATAGCATGTGGTCAATGAGTTTGCCATTCACTTCTTCACTTCTCGGAAAGACGAAAGTCTGTGAGCACCCATCATCGACCTCATCGTCACCGTCATCTTCTGCGTCGCAGCCTGGTTCCTAGCTCCCAAAGGCGAGAGCCAAACGTACGTTTGCACCATCTCCGTCAATACTGTCGAAAATGTCTCGCAAAACTTTCATTGGCTATCCTTATCTCTCTGGTCTATCTTCACAGCGATTCTAAGCTATCCACTCTTCCAACAGTATCCGCTCCAGTCACATCACTTAACAAAAACAGTAATGATGGCGACAATAACTCCGATGAGAGTGAGGGCGACCCCAATCACTGTAGCATACTCCTTGACGTGGACAAGCCAAGTCGCCTTCTTCTCATGCCGTGCAATCATAGCATTATCGGTGGTCGAGGGTATCGGCTGATTTTGGAGATAGTAGAGGCTGAAGGTAGAAGGTAGAGTGTGGGCGCGTTGTGCTTGTGGTAGGAGGTGGGTAGGTAGTAAAGAGCCCAAGTTAGCCTGCTCGGCTGCGGGAGCGATGGGATGGGACATTGTGATGCGCTGTGGTACTGATTGGCTAACACATGGATTAGCAGTATACATAATTGGAAACGGCAGGGCAATCGAGTACAATTAATACTGAAGTCTTCGATGGAGAGTTTGACTCTTCTTCTGTCGAGACCTTTGGCACGGCACTCAAAAGTTGATATACTACTACTACGCCCACGCCTTCAGGACTACTTGGTTCAAATATCTGAATTGAGGCGCATTACACACAAGCCGATCTGACATGCCCGCAGGCCGGTGAGACGTAGTCGAAGCCAATCAGATCGCCGTGGCTCAAGGTAAAGCCGCGCTGTCTGGTTCACTTGCACATACCCCGGTCTAAAGCTGCATCTATCGCCGCCCCCTGCCACTCTTCCATAGCCCCATGAAGCTAACAGGCGCCTGCCGCGTAGGCGGCTCGAGCTTTCTGTTCATGCTGCCCCGCATGCACACACTCTAATTGGACGGACAGCAAGGCTGAGAATGCGTAGCCAATAAGGTCAAGACTCATTTGCACAAGCTCAACTTGGCGGACGATACGTGAGCTCGCCTTCTTTAGATCGGGCAGCCCTGAAGCCACAAATCAGTAGAGCGGGGCAATGATGATTCCACGTCCCGAACTATATCAAGCCATCGCATGGCTCATGCAAAGTGATCATGGAGAATGTGGAAGCACTCAACATGCTTCCTTCTTGCGAAGTATTCTTAGATCTCCCTCTCTTCATTGTATCTCACTCCATAGCCTAGCATGCCATGCTCTACATGGACCTTTTGTGAACGATAAAACGCCTTCCCAACCATTTCACTTGACTACAACAGTAATAACAGCGGTGACGATGATTCCAACTATCGCAACCATAATCCCAATAATGCCGATAATAAGTGCGATGAGTTTGGCGTTCTTCATAGTGTAATGGTGCCATGTTCTTACAAGTCCCCTGTCGTTCGTGCTTAGAGGTCTTGTTAGGTCGTTCGATGGATGAGGGTTGAGTGGAGGGAAGGTGTAGGCGCGGCGTAATCGGAGATATGTGGGCAACAAGGTGTCCATATTGATCTCCTCGTGTGCGTTGGCATCTGAAGAGATCATGGGCGATGCGGTACTTGAGTTAACTATCATACTTTAGTGTGGTCTCTTGCCAGTCATGGAATGAACGCTAAGCCACATACTGTAGTAGGGGTGAAATGCTCAGCGAATTACCGAGGTCAGTAAAGTCTTGATATAGAATGTACAGAGCGATCAGGAATAATGTTGTCGATTATTCTCCATCCAAGAAACGTGAAGTTTGTTTCCTGCGATCAGAGTTCATATACCTGACTGACGAGGCCCCTAGGAGTGCGCTGTAGCGACCATGATGCCGGATTTGCGGCTGCGGAATGGTTGGAGCCTCGAAGGATCTGTATCCTGGTATCGAGATCAAGCCTACGGACTTACGGCAGCGATGGGATACGAGTGGATGAGCGCTCTACCTTGCTCGAATATGCATATCTTGCGCCAATAGAATGCACCGTAGCCTGGTAAGACTGAATCGCTGGACCTGACGTTGCAGAGTAAGCTCAGCCCGGGCTCAATCTTGGAACTGCAAGTGGCTAGAGTGAGGGTGAATCCAGACGCGATCGGACGTGTACATAAGCTCAACTCGTCTGTACCACGTGATATTGCGTTGAGCAAGGTGCGAGTGAGAATCAACTGAGGTGCGACCGGGCGCGCGAAAGTGCAAACGCGACACCTATTGAATATGTCTCCAGACAGGGCTGTGAGTCAGGACGGCTAAGCTCCGGATGTGGACCACTTGGGTCACCTGGAGAACCAATGGTCGGTACTTGCATGGACCGCTAGGTACACTTTGTTCAGAGGATCTCTGCATACACTCGTTGTTGGCATGGGTGACGAGCACTGCTTTTGTGAAATGGCTTGAAAGGTATATCCTCGGGTCTCGCGATCATGTTACATGGGTTTTCATATTGGTGGTGGTGGGAGACACAAGGTCGTGGCTGGCCGCGCACTAGGTATTGACGTCATGCAGGCTTCCAAGGTTGTTGGCCCTGACAACCGCGCGATTCCGCAGCGCCTGTCGTCTCTTCCTCTATACACACCCAGGCGTGTCGACTCTCGAGGAAACCAACCACTTCATAGATCTTCTTATCTAAACCACACGCACACATATAAGCTGTCGCATCAGTCGCGAGAGTGAGTATTGGTTTTCTTTGGAAGTACTCAAAGTTCTGTCTTCCTTGTAAAAGTTTCACTGGGTATCTTGACAACCATTCAATTTGTCACACTTCACGAGCATTCTTCATGGGTACCTAGGTAGCTCTGAGAACTCCCTATCTTCCGTTGCATACGGCATTTGGTATTTGAGCGATGCGACACCGCTTACGAACTCGAACCGTCTCTTTACATGGCTTATTTCACCGTAACAGCAAGAACAACTCCGACTACAATTCCAACAACTGTAACAGCGATTGCGATAACAGCGATAACAATTCCAATAACAGGGGCGTACTTCTCAACGTGTAAAAACCATGTTCCTTCCGTAAATTTGATTACAACAGCAGCTCTGGCTCTCGATGCCGTTGTTCGATTGTCGTGGTTGAAATCGGGGTCGAAGGCAGGAGGTAGAGTGTAGGCGCGTGGTGGTAAGATGTGCGTCGGTAGCGTCGAGTCGGTATTGATCGATCGAACTGGTGTGAATGCGTCGTGGGCCAGCTGAGATACTTGGGTTTCGTCATCAAGTTGCTCAGACGTCGTGCTGGTGGAAGAAGACATGGCGATGCGATATGGGACTGGGTCTAATCATGATCAATTAGCGCCGTGCTAAAGCCATAGGCTACCTGAGACCCACGCACGGGTGGTAGAGGTGAATTGTGTCAATAGAGTTCGCGGAACACGAGAGTCTGAGGGATCTTGAATAGTGCAGCGTTTCTCAGGAGCCTGGGTTCTTCTCTTTTCGACAGTCTCTATCGCCTACTGAGCATCTTGATATATCCTACTCGTCTGCCCCAACCACTCCAGGGCTGCCGGGCCGTCGATTGTTCCGAGGCCAGCTCGCCGCAGCAGCGTCCCCTGTGCCAATAAGACACTGTCATGCACTACTAGTGCTCACCCGACTTCCTGCATGCGTATCCCAAGGCTGTTACTCCGCACAACCGTCAATGTTTACCAAGCTACCCTTTATCGGGTTAGGCAGCCTTGAGGTTACTTTAGAATGAGAGCCGCGCTGCTAAGCTTCCG